ACGTGTTCATAGCCGTCATGCTGGTCACCTCGCTCGTGCTCGTAGCTCTCGTCGTCACCTCGTCGTGCCATCAGCTCTTCGCGCCCGTAGTACCTGCGCTGACGGTGGCCGGATTGACTCGATGCCCAGCCGGGCCTGTTAACATTTTTTTCGGCTTCCGAGGGTTTGTATATCATAGCTCTATGTGCCGATGCGGTCAGAACTTCCTCACCCGGACACTCACGCACGCAGCAGGTGGACACTCACTGAACAGCGGGTGCGACAAGAAGCGCGCTAGCAAGAACGAAGACTGTGGACAGGCGCATGCTGATCGTGCGGTGGTTGTAAACTGGAAATGAACGTCAAAGTAGTGGCGAAAGAGAACAAAGCCAAGCTATAATGGGCGGTCACTAGCTGCACGGAGCCGGCGGAGAGGGGCGGCACTCACTATCCTGTACTTGGGCTTGGGGACTAGGGGGTGGGCTCACACAGGTCAACTGGGGGCTGGAGAGCCGTCGTTGGATCGGCTCTTCTTTAATAGTGCACATGGCGGCACAGAGTTACCAAAATGGCTTAATGTTCCATGGTGACTAATGGGAGGGTAAATTTTTATTTCATACAACCATACAGTAGTCAAAATATGCTTGGAGGATGACAAGGTAGAGTGAGTGCCTTTTTTACGGATCTATAGCTTTGATGCATCTTATTATCCATAGTATTGGTTATTATATTATATTACAGTTCAAACGTTCCATCATATCCCAAAACATAATTCTTTGATCCTGATCAAAACGGTATGCTCTTCTCGTTGTCACACATGTGGTCTCGTACCCAGATGTGTCGAAGACGCGTCTGGGCACGAGACTGCGTGCGTGGGGCATCTGAGATCTTGATACTTGCAGCCTGCAGCCAGTCGGACTTGGAACGCGTCCTCTGTTTCCGTCGAGGGCTACTGGAAAAGGAGATGCGGAGTATGAAGCCGCAGAGTACATTCACACTGCAACAATTAGGACATATTTCCAATAGGGTGATTCAAAGTAGTGTTTTGGAGGCTGTTTTGGACATGTTTCTGCTCAGTGTTGACTTTTGGATGTTGTTTTTTGACGAGTCTGAGATGCCTGAAAACGCAGCAAATGCAAATTGGCCAAGAAAGAACAGAAGGCATACATACAAGAAAGAGAAGGAAAGCTACTGAAACCGGTGCGGCATGAGGATTTCTGCACGCATTTTGACAGAATATCTGGTCGAAATACTCTGTTATGCGCGCGGTGCTAACTATTAGGCAAACTCAACCGCAAGACGCGATTTCGAACCGCGCGAGAACGGACG